ATGGCGGCGGCCCCCCGGCTGCTCTGCCCCCGGCTTCCCCAAGTCAGCCGCTGGTCAGTTTCAGCAGAGGCTAACTTGGGGAAGCTGGGGGCAGAGCAGCTGGGGTGCTGCTGGGTTTGTCAGTCAGCCACTGCTGAAACTGACCAGCGGCTGACTTGGGGAAGCCAGGGGCAGAGCAGCTCCAATTGTCCAGTTGGCCGGAGCACTTCCGGGTTCCAGGTGGTGCCGGACTATTGAGAGTGCTGGACTACTGGATGCCGGACAATTGGAGTTTTACTGTATTAATATGACAGCATGTCCAGTATAGAGAATGGAAAAGGATTGCATTTAACTTAGAAAAAAATAAAGATCCCCCATATACGTCAGGAAAAAAACCCAAGATAAATATGAATTCAAACATTATTTGCCACTAACAGTTTGACTTACATTCTATTTCATATTTTGGACTAGACTTGTATTTATTTCACATCATGCATAAATATGGAACAGGGCACTGAACAATTAAACACAGTTAAATGATTGGTAATTAAGAACAGTTAAAGCAAGAGTAAATAGATCTCTCCTCAGCTGGGTATCAAGTGTTAAAAGACTGAATAGTAACTGAGCTTCCCAGACAACAAACATAACAAGAAAATGCTAAGGTTCCTACTGATACATGACTAAAAACTGGATAGATGAGGAAACACATTATCTGAGATTCTAACAAATGGCTAAACAGAAGATCAGTTAAATATGTTGGACTGCGGCTATTCAAAGCCTTAACAGTGATAAAACAAACATATTTTATATGTGAAAAACTTTAGAAGGACCCAGTCAGAAAAGTTTACAGCCTGATCTTGTGAGGTGCTTTGCTCCTTCAACACGCCTCAGAATTATGCCCTTACAATGCCAGTGATATGCTCAGACAATAGTTATATTGTATGTTTTTGTAAATTCGTTTTTCAAAGATATGCTCTTCCTTATATTAACCCATTTCCTACAGATGATACATAAAGTATGTTGTAAAAAACCCCTGAATTTTAAAGAGACCATTAAAAATCCTCTCATGAAACACAAATGAATTGTATTAAAAACTGTTCCTCTTCATCTCAGTTGCAAGTAGCTCAATAAAATAATCATGTACTTAATTTTATAACTAGACACACATACTCTGGCACGTTACATTGTTCTGATGGTATTATAAGGAAAATTATGGCAGGCTTGAAATTCCAAAAATCTTTTCATCTAATGTTTCTTGTCGCTTATATGAAGTTATTTTGATCCACTAGATTCTCTGGTATGCAGATGATTTACGCTTAAGGTGGACTTGATAGAGGATGAGTGCCAAGATGCCGGCAATAACGACCACGAATATAGCGACTGCAGGAAAAATGATGTTGAAGTCAGCTGAGCACTCCTCCACTAGAAGGGGAAAAAATACGATGGGTAAAGTTGAATGATGCCAACACTGACTGTCTCTTTCAGCCTTGATCTTCAAATACAGGAGCATTAGAATCATTTGATCAGGTTGCAGCTGTTTGAAAGGACCATGCCCTTTCTGCTTCTTACACTACTTTACAACAGTACCCAAGTACCTCTTCCTTTGCTGCTTTTATAAGCAAACTGAGAGACCATTTCTGGTAATGCATTTACTTTTGTAGATAGATTTTTAAGGCCAGAATGAATCCTTATGATCATCCAGTCAACCAGGGATATGGAAACCTCCCCTCTCCCAGGAGGTTATGAGCAGGTTTCAGGGGGTCCACCTAGCAGGGTCAGGATTTGACTTTCTGGGGTCCAGGGCAAAAAGTTGAAGTCCTATGAGGCTGAAGTTGGGGACAACATTCCCTGCCATCCTGGGCTAAATTTCAACAGCCCTCTGCAACATGGGGGCCTGTGCAGTTGCCTTGCTTGCTACCCCCTAACGGTAGTTTTGCAGAAAAACAGTTGTAGCACAGCCCGTGCAGTTGCCTTGCTTGCTACCCCCTAACAGTAGTTTTGGCTTTTATATGCAGAAAAACAGTTGTAGCACGAGGGCACCATGGAGTTGTAATTGGATGGGGAGGGGGACTTCAGAAAAGAATAAGGTTAGGAAGCCCTTCCTGACCTCCGGAATGACACCGGCCAGCACCATATCACAGCATCCATGAGGAGGGAATATTTCTCCCCTCCTGTGTAAGTGAGTAAGCAACTAATGGTTTAACTAACCCGTAGTAAAATATCAAAACTATTTTTAAATTTAAGATTAAATAAATAAAACGGGCCAGATATCGATTTGAGTTACCTTGGTGAAAATCTAGAGTGACGCGATATAAAATTTTGGCCCAATGTTATTTATGTATTATTGTATGTTTTTCAAACTAAGGTCTGGTCTACACTAAATGTGGGAGATCAGCTTGCGGTACGCAACTCCAGCTACACAGAATACAAAGCTGGAGTCAGCTTACCTTAAGCTGAGCTTGGCACCGTCTCCACTGTGGGAGGCCAACGGGAGCAAACACTCCTATCAGCTTCCCTTACCCAGCTACGAAGAGTACAGACGCCGTCTGGAGCTGCCCTCAACGTTTGATTTAGAGGTCTATGCTAGACCCGCTACATCAAACACCAGAACGTCGATCTCTAGCATGTTGAGTGAAGACGTGCCCTAAACAAAGTCATGGGGAATTCCTTATACTGCACATTTTTCTAGGCTCCCTTCCTGCAGTTTTTATCAAGGAAAAACTCTCTCTCACCATAAAACTGAGCTCATTACCATTATTGATAGGGAGGATTTTCATTGTTCTCTTATTTTATACTATTTTCTCATTTTAAAATATTTTCATAGTTAATGTCTCCTTGCTTTGTGTTTTGTCACAGTGGGTCAGGGTTGAGGGGTTTTTTTTTGGGGGGGTGGGGGATATGTTTGTCTTTTTAACTTTGTAAATCTTCTGTACAATGAAGAATTAAATCAACCAAGACACACACACCCCTTTAAAGTAATCTCAAAATCAGTTCTTGTATATCTCTCTCAATCACCTGATTAGAGGAAAATAGAAACCAAAGCATTACATACTGTGTGCTTTAAAGTTAATCTAAATTATCTCCTTGTGTTGATCCAGCACCTCAGTTTACAGGCACGAAATTCATCCTTGTGCTGTGGGCCTATGCACCATTTAAATCCCACAGGTACCTTCACAATACAGTAATTCCTCATTTAACACGTGCCTGCTTAACACGTTTTCGCGATAGCATGATTTTTTTGGGGGGAGGGGGGAGACTTTTTTGAATTACATGACCGTCCCCAGAATAACACGATTTCCCCAGCCGGCCCACTGCCGGCAGCTGCGCGGAGCTTCCCCCACCTCCCTGCAAAGCGGGGGGGGGTTCCCCGCTCACAGCACCGGTCCCCGGGCACCCCCGCTCCGTG